GTGCGTGTGTGTTTTTTTTATTTTTTTTTTTTTTATTCCTTCTTTTACTTTTTTATCCACCGTATAATTTATGGTATTATTATGCAGCAGTTACAACTGGTTGTATATTTTAGTGGTTAAGGTTGACAAACATGCGTGCACGCATTCGTGACATTCATATCACATATCCATACGGAGTATCTACATGCTCACATATTTACAATAGTATTTTCATCTTTCTTTTATGTATTTTGTCATTTTTCATCTCTGCCTACTTAACGTGAGTTTTCAAGTTTATTATATCAGGTAGCGAAGGTTAGAGTTATCTTCGTTTTCTCATTCCTTGTGTAACGTCCCGTGTAATGTAAATAAAAAAAATTAAAAAAACACTCTATGTTTATTTAATCATATCTCTCAGTCCATCTATCTGGGGCTTGAAAGCTTGTGTCAGTCGCTTCCACTTTCGAACTTGTGAACGCGCACAAATACCCTTTGTACCCTGCGTTGTACAACGGAAAAGTACTTTAAAGATATCTGCCTGAGTGACCGCGTGCGGAAAGTATCTGAAATAACAAATCAATGGTTGTGAGTTCAAAACTCAAGTGCGGAAGAGCTTGCAATAGAACCGATAGCTTCAGATGCTAGTGCTTTAAGCCTTTAATTATAGAATTTATTTTTTTGGCTATAGATTAATTATAATTATAATAATAATAATGATAATAATAATAAATACTTTCTATCTATATAGTTTAGAACCTCTGTCCGACATCGATTTAAAATTCATTAAAAAAATTCATATTTTTCAAGCATGTTCTTACACTTTATACCCTTCCTTTCTTCAAGGCGATGGTGATACAAAATTCGTTCTGTGGTAATGCAAACTTTCTCACTTATTATTATTTAAATTTTATAAAGAAAAATAAAAAGAATATAAAAAAAAAAATAACAAAAAGAGAAAAGTTGACAATTTCAGTTTTAATACGTCACAGACAGAACAAGATTTAACATTGCATTGAATAATGAATCGACTTAAAAATGTGAGATATGTTAAAAGATTAGGATGATGTTGTAAGAATAAGTTTAACACGTTTGCGTTTAAGTGAAAACATGTTTTCATGTCTTTCATAAATGAATGATTTAAGATTAACACTTTCTTTTAAAGGCAAAGGCCTTAAGGATTGAAACAAGAAAAGAAAGTTTTATTTACATAATGAATAACTGAAGAAAAGAACAAAAAAAAAAAAAAAATTAACTAAAAAAACAACTTCAAGGTAACGAAATAAGCTTAAGAGAAGAAGATTTTACATGCATAATTAAATAAAATTAATTAAAAAAAGAAATGAAAAGAAAAAAAAAAATGATATAAAAGCCCGTAAAGCATGTAATATTTGCTGGTAATTGGTTTTCTTTTTTCGCTCATACATATATGAATGTTAACACCAGAACGGCCGATGTTTTGCGTACATCTGCCATTAGCAGTTGAATGAAGGCGGAATTAGAAGAAACTCGCATATGGTACTTCTATCGGGATAGATCCTTTAAATTAAGATGCTATCTCTCTCTCTCTCTCTCTCTATCGGGAAATATCGGGAAAGATAGATCCTTTAAATTAAGATGCTATATCTCTCTCTCTCTCTCTCTCTCTCTCTCTCTCTCTCTCTATTTAAAGATTTAGAAAGAATGTTAACATCGCCTGAACGATGATATACTTGACTTGAGCGCAAAAATTTGAAGAGAAAGCTAAAACTTATCATATATGCGTCGTTAGTTAAGACTCGAACACTTGTTGCAGCCACTTGAGTTTATTCCAAAACTAGTGCCGGCCAATTTTTAAATATATATCTGCAATTAAATAAATTAAAACAATGCAGTCGGACAAAGCAAACTTTTAAACATCCTACACTACCTCGCCGAAGATAATTCTTCTGAACTAGATCACCATTCGTATATTTAGCTTTGACAACATAAGGTGATATTTTGCGATTTAAAAGCAACTTGTGTTGTTTACAGTGATTTCGAAGTCAACGAAACGAAAACGGAATTAAATCGTCGCAATTTTTGTGCGATGCCAAGAGTGCATCGATTAACATACTTTCTGTTTTGACAATTGAAGCCCCATTCCTTAGTGCATTCGAAAGCAGCTATTGTGGCAGGAAGCATCGGCATTGTGCAAAAACTGATAATGCAAGATTGGCATATAAGATAGTATGAGATGTAGGCAACTTCAGGCTTTAGTTTCTCCAGCATAGGTAAAATTTTGCCTATCTTGATCATTTAGGCATACAAAAGATGTTTTTTTTGTCGTTAGATCCCGCCTAATATAATTTAAAAAAATTTTGAAACAATGCTCGTGTGAAGAAATGCAAAGGAGGGGGTACTTCAAAACACGTATATAACGTCTCGTAACATGGGACGAAATCGCTCATCTGCGCTGATAAGACGGAAGGACTGTATTGTTTATTTAAGATGAGTCAAGACTCTTATCAATTGTAGACGCATTCACTAGGCTGTGGCCATAACCTTCCCCCCAACTCTTTTTCTTCCTTCATTCTCCTTGTTACACGAGTAGGAAACATGTCCCAAGCGATTGATATTTAAAAAAAAAAAAAAAAAAAAAAAAAAAAAAAATATTATTCAGCAACTTTTTATTGAAAAAAAAACTCTGCTATTCCTCAGATTTGAACCCACGACCATTTAAGCTGTTAGCCGAGATTCTTTGTTTACTCGTCCAGTCAGGCGGATCAGAACGACTTATATTTACAATAAACCCAAGAATATATGTTTTGCAGAGTATGTTCATCTAGTATATTGTATCGATATAGTTGACCGTGATCCTAAAAAAAAGAAAAGTTTTTGGTGTATAGACATGTGGGCGTTGTAGTCGTGCCCTTGGATCGGCTTGGACATTGCCAAATCTCTATGCGTCTTTGTGAGCCATATCTTCATTTTTGCGAACGAGAGAATGTTTATGGCAGATTCCACACAGTTGAGTAGGCTGATACGAGAAATAAACAGACCGACATGCTCAGGTGCATCTCGAATTTAAAACTGGCCAAGCACTTATATACTTGGAGGGGTTTTCGGAGCTTGCTTTTACGCGTTATAAAAGTATTGGGAAAAAAAATTCAATTTTAATATACTATAGTATTGGTAGGCGTAGTCAATTTTCCCAATTTTTGTCCAGTGCTGTGGTTTATAAGAAATGAGGGGAAAAATCAATTTTTTATTCCTTTGGAAAAGTAGAGGTGCTCTTGAGGTGAGATTTGACCTCTTTTTTATCGCCAAGCTGCGGGTAAGAACTTTCAATGTTTCTGCCAAATTTCAAGTCGTTAGCTTCACTTTGCGACCAAGAGACCGCTCACTACCGACATTACACAGACGCACATTACATAGACACACAGGCGGAGAGACAGACATGCTTAATTTGATACGGATCAAAAATGCCTATACTCGGTGTGATCTCTGAACATCCTGTTGGGCGTTGCAAACGTTTTGACGAAATGAATTTGACTCTCATCCTTCGGTGATGAGTGTAAAAACAACAACATACAGCTTTTATGAGATATTATTGTAAGACCAAATAAATCCAAGCGTTTGCCTACAAAGGCAACATAAGCAAGTTGACACAAACTGTAAAGATTTGAAGTGACCAGCAATCCAAAGGCACCATAGAGTGATCTATGAATAGCTCGTCGCCCTTCCTTCTAATGGCCTTTATAGACATTTGCAAAGCTATAGTTTTCGTCCCTTCCTCTTAAAGTAGATACGTAAAGTATATCAACTAGATTACTACGTTACTATTAATCATTCATACTTGCATGAGTAAAATTTCTCAATCCTGCATGATTTTATTCTGATTGATATCATGCAAGCATGAAATAATTTTTTGTTTTTTCTCTTGATATAGTTTAAAAAGCGATATTTTCTTGATCTATACCTATACATGTAAGCAAGTAACTAACTAAATATCAAAACGGTGTTTATATTACCTTTGCGTGATTTAATTAAATTGTGCACAAGTTTACCTAAATTAAATATTTTTTCTTGTAATCGATGCAATCCCGATTGTTTTTTATGTGAAACCAGTTTCTCTATGAATAGAAATAGAAAAAAAGGAAAAAGGAAAAAAAAACGAATGTAAACTCTACACTTAAAATTAACTGATTATAACAGCATAATAATAATAATAATAATAATAACAACACAAAAACAACAACAATAACAGCTATTTAACAACTTAATTTGATAAGTTAAACGAACATAGGCATATGCTTATAGTGTATATCTATGGTGGATATATACACTGACGGAACTTGTGTACAAACAACTAAATTTTTAAACTCATGTCATCGTTATACTGTTGTTTATATGGTACGGTAGCCGAAAAAAATTAAATGTTTGTGTTGTTTCGGTTGTTTATGTGCATTAGTATAAGTGAGATTCTGTGTGTTAATGTATGTGTGTGTGTGTGTGTGTGTGTGCATATATGTATATGTGGGGCTTGTTAATTTGTTGTTTGTCGATATTTGGGAATCTTAAATTATTAGTAAAACGAAGAAGTGATTGTTTTCATATGATCTTTATCATTATTCTGGCTTGCATATATAGACATATATATATATATATATGCATGCATTTGTATGCATACATTTAATGTTAAGGTAAAAAAATTCATAGAAAAAAATCCAACAAATAAGGTAATCTTTACGTTATTATGTTTATTTGAAAGGAACCAAAACGTGAAACAAATATTGCGCAAAAATAAAAGACAAGAAGAGGAAGAAGAAAATCTTTAAACTATATGTTGTAATGTTTTAACGACTCCAAGTGACTGATAAAGCCTTAGGCTTATTTTTTTTTTTTTATTTTAAAAAATTGAATGGCAAAAAATGAGTATATATATATATATATATATATATATATGTATGTATATATGTATATGTAGAAGAAATATGCAAAATTGTGGTCTTGCTGGTCATTAATTGTTGTTGCTTCTTTTTTTCTTAACTCCTTTTTTTCAGGGTAATTCAACTAATGACGATTTAGATAGTGAAGACATAGATGACTTGGCGGATTCTTCTTCTTCATCGGACGAGGGTGAACAACCAGAGGATCATTTAGTTAATATTCATTGCGGCGGGCAACATGAATTCGAAGCTGGCGCCACTGAAGATGATTTAAATGATGAAGTTTCCGATTTAGAAAGTGACATAACACACGATAACTCATTGTCATCTTATAATAATAACAACAACAACAATAATAATAATAATAATAATAACAGCAACAATACTAACGGCAACATTATCGTTAATAACAAAAACAGCAACAACAACAATAGCAACAACATCAACATTAACAACAACAAAAACAATAATAACAATAGTAATTTACAAACTCAAGCAACACATTCTTTAGATGCAAATGACAACAATACAAGCATACAGCATCTAACACAAAACGTGTCGTCTTTACATCATCTTCAGTCACCGCAACGTGATTGCATACAAACTAAGGTAAGGGTTTTGTGTAATCACCTAACAACAAGAAGATCTATACTAGTTGTAACATTGGCTTGCAAGCCATGCCGAATTGTTTGTTTGTTTTCGTACAACAAATTCTTTTCTCGTTTTCGTTTTTCTCATTTTCTGTTGTGTTTGTTATTGTTATGTTTCGTTTCGTACGTCAATATTTTAACACTCGATTAGGTTATGCATGCAAATTGCACAAAAAGTAAATTTTGTATATTTTTTTTTTATTAAAAAAACAAAAAAAGCAACATATTTCGCATGTATGGTATGTGTATATATACCTTTGTCAATTTTGCTTCAATTATTTTTTCTTTTTCTTCTGTTTTTTTTTTTTTTTTTTTTTTTTTTTTTTTGGCCTCTCATACCGTAGTCAACGATGAGATCTGAATGGTTTTTAAAATAAAATTTAGAGCAGTAACCTTTAGTGATGTTAAATAAAGATTTATGTACATATATATCCATAGATCCATATACGGGGTTTGTTTGAAAAAAAAAACAAAAACACAGGGAAACCTTTAAGTTTTGCGAACCCTTTCTAAGTCGGATTGCTGTATTAGTACACTTGTTTCCATTTATTTACATTTATAGCAAATGCTCGGCTGTCAAAAAGTTCTCTTATGGTGAGCCGTTTTATTTTTAGTCTTTTAATTTCAATAAATCGCGATCATATCAAAGCGCTTCGCAGCTTGTCTATAGCCAGCAAACGTATATACGCACCACCAGAGCCTAAAAATGCCATAAATGAGAAGCGGGCCTAATGGGCAGTGGGGAAGATCGTATTTTAATTACGACTGTTACGTGTTACGCATATGTATATAATGGATGCTCGATAGGTATATTTATAACGCTTACCGATCTATCATATTCTCCTTTGGTTAATCTTTCATGCTGACCAGCGTTCATACGCTGATAGGTGGCATACACAGACCGGCTCGTCCTTAAAAAAAAAAAGACAAAAACGAACATAGAAACTTGTGCTTAGCTGTAAACGAAACTACTGTTACCATCAACTTTGACCGACTTGGGCTCTTGTGAATATTAATTGGCCTTTAACAAACTTTTAATGTCTTGGCAGGAATTTAAAGCCACTAGCACCAAGAGTACAATTACTGCAGGGAAATAAACACACAAACGGACGGACAACAGACCTGAATCGATTCAGAATTTGATACTTGATTTGATCAATAATCCCTTGATTGAGTCTCTTTGGTTGCTACGAACGTTTCAATAAAGCCACCTGACCAGCGGATATGGGAGATCATAAGAGACGAAAAATATGGACTCTCGTCGTTTTTTTTTATTTTCAGTTGAAGTCTACGCAACTCTAAAGCTAACTTTAAGTAGATCAACTTTGGGCTTAATACAGATGGAAAAAATACCTTGAGAGCATACCAACTGACTGATATACAGCGTTCGAAGTCTAGATAGCCCTGATAAATGTTTGTACCACGTTGTCTACGAGTATTTGTGAAAATGAACCCGGTTTTATCGCATCGTAATATTGAACATTATACGATACTGTACTAGTCATTATGGATCGTTGCTTGTGTTGTAAGAAATGACAACTGCTTTTATCAAGTGACGAAAACTCGAAGTTCCCTGAAGTTTTTAATCAAAACTTGTTTATTTACCCTACATCGATATGAACTACTTATGGTGGATTTAATTAATAGTTGTTTATATGTTTTCTGGAAAAATTAAAATTCATTGGTTTAATTTATAGAAAGCACTGAAGAACAATTTCTTACGTTTAATTTTTGTAGATATAGACAGCTTCGATGAAATCTATAGAAAACTTTTTCAAAAATTATCTCAAATATCTTTTTTCCCAAACTCGAGTTACATAATTCATTCACTGTTAGGTAAATTTGCCCGGGATGAGAAGATTTTATTTATCAAACTAAACTTGTAGGGGAAACTACGAGAAATTGCCAGGTTTGGTATACACGCACAGTACGAGATATCTCCTAATTAAGAGTGAATGGGTTAAACAAATTTAAATTTGATTTATTAATGAAAAGTTTTCAAATTTATTTACAACGATTATCAAATATACAAAATTAAATTTAAATAAAAAAAAATATATATATATATATATATTAGTGTCCACTGTTCATTAGGTTACTACCTCTAAAATATAAGCGAAATTAATTATAGTAAGAAGCGCAGTTTCCAAAGTAAATTTTTGCTGCCTTTGTTACCTATAGGAACTGCGTTTTCCGCTACCTCTATGGAAGGGTTAAAAAGTTGTATAAGCTTTGAATATTTAAAGAAAAAAAAAAAGAAAGAAAAACTATACTAATGATAAAACCTTTAGATCGATTGTGAAGACGGAGACGACGAGGACGAGGACGAGGACGAAGAAGAGGAAGAAAGATACGACGAAGATCGTAACGCCGACGAAATCGATAGTCCTCAGCACAAGAGCTTACATTGGAAACATTTAAGCTACGTTAGGACATTAAATGGTCGTTTAATCGGGCAAAAATCCTCTTTAACAAATAACACAACATTAACTGATTTCGAAGCCGATTCAGAAAGTAGTGATTTGGAATTTGTTCAACAGCGTATGCGTAATCAACGCAAGCATAATATTAGTAGTGGTCTAATGCCTGTACACAATAAACGCGTTAATCAACACGGCAACGTCTTAAACGGTGGCGAAACGATTAATGCTAATATGCAAACAGTTTTGAAAGCAACGAAAACGTTGATAGTTAATGAACAGCACCACCAGCAACAACCGCAATCACAAAGAGCTACTTTGGCGGTCATTACACAAAACACAATGACTGGCTCGGCAGCCACACAAATAACGACAACACCAGCCACCGCAGCCGTGGCACCCGTGAACACTACAGCCACAGCACTGAATGGCAATAGTATTGGAAATCGTGTTGCTCAAAAATTAACTGCAACAATTAATGAAACTAATCAGCAACAGCAGCAGCAGCAGCAGCATCAGCAGCAACAGCAGCAACAAATTGCTAACGGTGCTTTAATAATGAAACAAAAAAATATCGCCATTATATCGCCCAATAACAGTCACACTAGCAACGGTAACCACCACCACCATCATCACCACTACAATAATCATCATCATCACCATCATCATCATCATCGTAAGTCGCCTACAGTGTTGCGCAAATCCCATCAGCCTCAGCACCAGCATAAGCAACAAAATAAACAACAACAACAACAACAGCAGCAGCAGCAGCCGCAACAACAACAACAACAACAACAGCATCAGCACAATTCTGCTGCCGCCGCTACCACCACCACCGATATTTCAAAATTTAATCGTTCAAATCGCAAATCAAAAAATTGTGCCATTTTCTATTTTAAGCATTTGGACACTGACAACGAAACCAACTATAGCAGCAATCACGGCGACGAGGACGATGACGGCGACGGCGACGGCGACGGTGACGGTGAGGGCGAGATCGAGGGCGATGACGACGACGATAATAATGGTGTCGTTGTTAGTTTAGATGATGACGGCGGTGTTGATGGTGAAGGCGGCGATGGTTGCTTCTCGTCCTCTTGCTGTAACTCGCAAACAAGTGATGTAAGTATTGCTGCAAGCACACAAATAAAAACACATAAAAACATACATGCGCACACACGAGTACCTCTATATAGGTGCAAACATGCATATATTTATATATATATATATATATATATCTCCTTTAAATACACTCCTTACCGTATTGACACCAGCAGCCTTTTATTTTACATTCAAGCGCAATGGATTATGATTTTTCTTTCTATACTTAAGTACCGCTATGTGTGGCAATAGAGAGAATAAGTGACTTATTTTCATATATTTATGTATTGAGTGCGAGATGAGTGGTTGGTGACAATGAAAACATGACGCATACCCTGCCATATATTTTCCAAAATTGTTGTTGTAATTTATTTATTAATTTATTTTTCCTTTTATTTTGCGGGTCTCTTATTTTCAGGCAACAACACTCATCCTCATGCTCTTATAAAAAATATTTGTATCATTTGTATAATTTTATGTTGTTATCTGTTCGCGCTACGTACATTAAACACGCTGTCATCAATGGTGATGGTTTCATTTCCTAGTTTTATATACATATTTTTGTACGTTTTTATAACCTCGTCCGTACATACGTACGACATTGCTACAGATTTGTATATACATTCGTTTTTTTTTTTTTTGTTTTTATTCTCACGGTGTTGGTAAACAAACAT